GCTGATTACTCAGTCTCGTCTATTCACTCTTTCTGTATTCAGGACTTTTATGTCTTTGTCCTCTTTTCCTCGCACTACATTCTCCACTCACCATCATCAACGTCCCCTGTACTATACCGCAGCTCATGCTCTTCGTTTATATGCCCCGATTTCACCATTTCGCAGTACGATGAGTGAACTGCTCTTTATGTCCAGCTCTGCTATGTCTTTGGAATCCTTCACCTAGGAGTATCATCTGTTTTAGGTCACGGTGGTCGCCGCCTACATTATGTCATAACCGAGAGCCTCGACGAGCTCAACAACATCGCTGTCAGAGACCGATTCGGCTCCCCGGCCCTGGCGCTCCGACAACGTTGTTGGCATTCGAGCGCTCGAGCGTTCGAGCGTCGCAAGTCATCGAGCTCCCTTTGCAGCTGCTCAACCTCTTTGCATGCCCGTTCGTCCTTACCCGCTGGCTGCAATACCGCGCTTCCCTCGGCTGCATGTAGTTGCTTGTACACCGCGCGCCTGGCGACGGTGGCGAGCATGGCGGCACCACCCACCCTGCCGATTCAGCCGACTTGGGCTTGCATTTGACGACGGTGGCGATCGTGGCGCCGCTAGCCACCTGCGGCCCATCTGTCGAATATGCCGACTTGGGCCTGCTTCGGCGAGTGTGGCGCCGTTACTCACCTGCAGGCTCATCTTATGGACCGATCTACGCGGGCGCGCGCCTGGCGAAGATGGCGAGCATGGCGGCATCACCCACCCTGCCGACTCAGCCGATTTGGGCCTGCCTTTGGCGAAGATGGCGAAGGTGGCGCCACTACCCACCTACGGCCCATTCTGTCGAACATGCCGACTTGAGCTTGCGTGCGGCGAAGGTGGCAAGTGTGGCGACGCTACTCACCTGCAGCTCATCGTACGCTTCGGGCGCGCGTGGTCAATGCACGTCGTCTGTGATCCTGAACTGCATGTCCCGCAACTCCTTCGTCTTGGCTTCGAACTGTCGCTTGATCGAGCATCTGTGTGGGTTCAGCATGTCTTCCAAGCAGCAAATGATGCCACGACTGCCTTGCGCACGACATCCCGGCTGTTGTCCTTAAGTTGTTGATCTGAGCGGCTGGCAAGATCGTTCATGCACCTGCAGTTGACAGGACTGAGCGCCCGCCGTCATCCAGTCACCGATACCGTCGTTCTCACCAGGCTAGCCATATGAGGCACTCCCGAAGTCCGCGCATGTCTTGTTCGTATCCCCTTGCTAGAAATCATGGCGGCGCCGAGAAGACCGCTCACAACATCGCGTCACATTACATTTGGGCAGTGCACCTCGGCTTTACATGTAGTAAGAATCAAGTTGTTTGTTGCAACAAATATCGTGGCGGGAAGGCAGTGGGCTTATGTGTCAGGCTGTGCCGCCGTGTCGTTCAAATTCTAGAACGAGGAGATGGCTTGCTGGCGCCGTCTGCCTTCCGCCACCATGTCGACAGAGACTCACGCAAAATACTCATACTGGAACAACATAAACTCGTTGCCTGAGGGGGAGCGGTACGAGCGTAATCAATGGTCGTAGGATATTCTGGCTCATTCGCGTAGTTACGCGGTCATGGATTACGCAGTGCTCGAGATGTTGGGGTGCGAAGAAGGATTGCGCAGTGAACAGATGATAGAGAAGAATATCGAGGTAAGAAGCTGGTGGCCCTGTGAGAGACACCACTGACTTGTAACTAGGACGACGCGCGTTCGCGGCTCGCGGCGATGACGCTGGATGACAAGAGCGCCGTAGATAACATGTGCGAAACCTGTGGCCAAGTCAATATCGGCACGTTTTTAGAAAGCCTGGGAGTCATGCGCATGCTATTGACAAGTGTATCTTCAGAACTTGGCAAGGAGGGAGACGAGCATCTGCGGGTCCATGTCGCCACTCACAATGTAATTCAAAAGACGGACGTCCGATTCAAGTTGAAGAACCGGCGGGTGAAGGCTCATAGGGACTATGTGCAGGGCTTTCATACTACCACGCTAGAACCGACGCCGTTAACGGATTCAACAGAGGGAGATAGTTGTACGACCTATGCGGGCAGTGACGATGATAGTGTGCCAGAGCTCGTTGATGCCGAAGAGTATTAGAGTCAGCAAGTCTTGAGTCCAGTTGCTACGTGATGAATAATATAGTACGCAGTTCCAAGGCATGCCTAATATCATATCGAAAGACCGGCTCTACAAACGTACGGAGCGCCTTAAGCCGGGTAGTATGGTTTAATGTCCTTTGCGTTCGCATGTGGGCCAGCAAGTGTCACGGTCAAAATTGGCGTTAGCGAGTTCAAAGCTCTCAAACCAGGCCTTGGCAGACTTGTATACTGTGCACGAAGAAGGCGTAGGACTGATAATATGACCACGAGGTCAGATGTGTATATCCCGCTGCATTCGCATCTGAACAATACAGGAAGTCAGGACAATCGGAAATAACTGACAAGTGTCGCACTTCGTTCGCTGATATTGCCGAGGTGGGTCCAATGCCCCCCCTCCCTTCGTCAATAAGGAGAGTCGATCGAATATCTGGAAGAGCGCGTAGAAAAGACCGGATGGGTTGACGGGACGTGCGTGATAAGATACACGTTCTTAAAGGGCACTGTGTGCGCGTCAGCTTCTTAGGTACGACCCAGCCGTCAACATGGGCAGCCCGTATCAGCTTGATGTTGTAGGTTACCTCCAATATCGTCAGAGAGGTGCTTTTAGACGGTGCAGGTCGCGGAACGTACTGTCTGACGCCGGATGATGCCTACAGCCTACCGCCTCGTTCACCTTTTCCCGTAGCTGAGGCTGAATTGGACTTGGCTTTCCCGACGGGCTTCCAGCTTCCTCGTTCACTTTAGAGGTTCACTTGCGAAGGCGAGATCGGTGCGCTGGACTCTTGTCTGTCGAGTGCGATGACAGGTTTCATGCTAACGAGGGTGCACATTGCGCTGCTACATATCTGAATATGAACTCATTGTTTCGAGTAGTGAAGCCC